GGATCTTAAATTTTGTCAGATGCTTTTTCTGCATCTATTGAGTTGATCATATGATTGTATCCTTTATTTTGCTAATATGGTGTCTCATATTGGCTGATTTACAGATATTCAACCATTTATCCCTGGAATAAATCCCACTTGATCATGGTGTGTGATCCCTTTAATGTACTGTTGAATTCAGTTTGCTAGTACTTTGTTGAGAATTTTTGCATCTGTGTTCATCAGGGATTTTGGCCTGTAATTTCCTTTTCTTGTAGTGCCTTTGTCTGGTACCTGGGTAATGCTGGTCTTGTGAAATGAGTTTGGAAAAGGTCCCTCCTCTTCTATTTTTTTGGAAAAGTTTGAGAAGGATTGGTAAAGTTCGTCTTTGGATATTTGGTAGAAATCACCAGGAAAGCCATCTGGTCCTGGACTTCTGTTTGGTGTGGGGTTTCTGGTTAATGATTCAATTTCCTTAGTAGGAATTGGTCTGTTCGGATCTTCTGTTTCATCCTGATTCAGTCTTGGTAGTTTGTATGTTCCTAGGAATTCATCCAGTTTTTTGAGATTGTCCAGTTTGTTGGCGTGTTCACAGTAGCCTCTGAGAGTCCTCTACTTCTGCGGCCGAGACATAATGCCTCCTCTTCCGTGATGCTATTTATTTGAGCTCTCTTTGTTTTCTTGGTGATCTAGCCAAAGATGTGCCCATTTTGTTTCTCTTTTTAAAGAACCGGATCTTACTTCATTGATGATTTCTCTTGTCTTTTTTAGTACCTATTTCATTTATTTCTGCTCTAATCTTTGTGATTTCCTTCCTTCTACTAAGCTCAGGCAGATGCATTTAACATTCTGCTTACAGTGGGCGGCACCCAGGGTTTGATGGAGCGTCATCCTGGGGTGTGTGCTGGGCCCGGAAGGGGGTGCCAAAGGTAATCGAAAGGTTTCTTTATTGGAGTATCTTCTTAGGCTGCTTTCTGTCAGCGTAACTCACATCTGCAGGGCCCACACGCCGCAGAGCATTCCTGGCAAGCCATATTTCTGTTGCTATTTAAAATCTTTTTCCCTCCTAAAGGCATTTCCCATGTGAAGAGGGAGGAAGGGACCCCCAGACTGTGGTTCATAAGGAAGGACATTCGATCCGAGTTAGGTGCCGTTCACCGGCTCGAGGCCTCTCCACGCTCACGCCTTACGCCTTTGTCAGTCTTGACAGTGATGGGCTTTTCAAATAATCATTGTTTTTAGCTCTGTAACTGACATACTCTGTAAGTTTTGTATACTAATACATGTAGTTTCACGAATGGCAAAAACAGCTTCTGGATATCATGGAAACAGATTTCAGTAGGCTTGTGCTGTGTGCGCCACAGTGGTGGAGTGTTGGGGCCTGAAATTAGATGGGTTGTTGGGTTGAGTGGATCTCCAGCAGCAGAAATTCAGGCTTTTGGAGTGGCCCCGGCATCTCCTGTCGTACAGGGAATGTTCTCCCTGGAAAATTAGCAATTTTGTATTTGGCTTTGTAGCAAACTTGTATTTCTTTGGAAACACTAAGTCTTATCTTTGGAAAACACTCTAGTTGGGGGTGCTTTTTTTACTTGTTAGGTGATGGATCTTGAACAAGGTGCGAAACAGTGCAAGCCACGAAGGGTTCACCTGCACTCGCTCGCTCGCACAGGAAGGCCGGCTGACATGGAAGAGAGATGTGGGCGAGGCTGGGTTCTGCTCCTGCGTCCTTACCCATCTGGAAACTGGTCGTTGCAGAGTTTCTGCAAGAGCTAATTAGATAATGTGTATCAAACACTCCGTATATTTCAATTTATTTAGAATCTCTATAAAGCGCCTTAAAAGTGTGGTCATAAAACTTGTTGTAAGGCATCTCGAGAAGGAAGGAGAAACTTGTCTACATGAATTTATTGACAACAAAGACACGTTCAAGTCATCTGTTACTCTGATGTATAAAAATCAGGAGACGACCTCCGAGTTAGGCAAAGGGCTCGCACGGCTGGACCCAGACCGCTCTCCAGCGCGACCTAGCTGGGCCCACCTGGTCTTGCAGTCATGGCCAAGGCCTACTTACCCGGCGCCGTCCATCTGCCTGACCGGGAGGCTCAGTCTCTCTGTGACTGTGACTCTTTTTGGGCACACGGGTTTCTGGAGTCGAGGCTGGGGCCGAAAGCCCTGAAACGAGGTGAAAGCACGTCACCCACAGGCTTCTCAAGGGAGGGAACCAGGGTGCCGGGAAGGCCTTCCTGCCGGGGTTGAGCAGAGCTGGGAGGAGCGCGAGTAAAGTAAGTGACCGGAGGGGTCGGTGACGTGGGGTCTGCGCCCAGACCGCTGCTTGTCCACTCGGGGGCAGCTGGCCGTCGGCATCAGCTCCGCAGTGAGCCTGGGAAGACGCCATTGGAAATTGTTGGTTAATGGTCCTACTCTGGCGTGTCCTGGTGGGAAAGACAGCTGACAGAAAGTGTCCGGCCAAACACAAATGAGCCAGAAATAATAATTAAATTATATCGTGTCTCCAACAAGAATAAAATCCCATCTCCCACTGCAGTGTTAGCATAGTAAAAGAAATAAACAGAGTAAGCCGGTGCGGCTGATAAAGCGCTTTGCTAATGGTTTAAGTGGGCTGGAAACCTGAGCGCGGCCGGGGTCCTGGGCCCTGACTTTGTCTTGCTCTTCTCTACCGTAACTTTCATTCGTGACAGGAATTTAAAGTCTGGATCCATAAGGCATGTTTTCAAATGGACTCTTATCACTTACAAATGTAAAATCCCACATTTCCGAGTGAAGGGAACTTCTTCTACGGACTAGTCTCTCCTCCAGGAGCTGTCGAGAAAATACGGAGTTATTTCCTGTCTTCACTGTGAAATACTTACATGTATACATGTCGTAACTAATGGCGCGATTACCTGGCATTCATTCATGCCAGTAATAACTTTCTGGGGACTTAAGAGTGACAGACAGACATAACTATGACCTAGTGTTTTAAATAAATGTGTTGTTTTTTGGCAAAAAGGAAAAAAAAGGAAATTGACTCTGTCTCCAGACTCCACAACTCGTATCTCTACGCAAGTGACGTTTGGCGCTCGGGGCCGTGCTGTCTTCCCGTTGTTAGGGATGAAGGGCCCGGCCCTGCCTCGTCCACCAGAGACTTAGGCGAACCCGCCGCATCTATCTTTCTGGAATCCCTAGAGGATCGGCGGGTGTCGTGTGACAGATGTGCTGACACATCTTTCTTGAGTAAGAGGCTCTGAGAGCCACGTTTTCTTCTGCTCCCCGTGGTGCCCCCGTGCCTCTAGAGAAAGGGAAGGAGAATTTCCAGGACCGCAGGTGTGCGCACTTCAGGTCTGGTCCTGATTTGTTCCTTATGAGATTGGGCTCCGGCGTTTGACGTCCTCACCTTTATTTCTCCTCTGTGAAATGGGACTCATTCAGGCTTCTCACTGTCGTCAGTGCGGGTGACAGCAGGGGCGTGTTGTCAGCCTGCTGAGCTCGATAGAAAAGTGCGCGGCGTCGAACAAACAGTCCGGCTGTTGGCTTGCAGTCCCCAAAATAGAGTAGAAAGTACAAACAGAATTTTTAGTAGGAAGTGTTTTTCAAAAGAGTTATGCCAGCTCCGAACGTAAACGTTGGTCAGATGATCTTACATGGTGTGCGGTATTTCCTTCTTTATTTCTACTTAATTTCCAGTAATGTTTCCTCACGGCGTTCCCCATTTACGTAATCATGTGCAGCTGCTTTGCTCACCTGTTCCTCAGGCCTGAGAGTTTTATTATTAATTTCCTCTGCACCCTCTGGCCGGGAGGAATGTGTCTATGGGCTCAGATTATCAGGGCTCTGGGAGTGAAGGGGACTTCCCGGTAGGTTCCAGGAAGATACGTTTCTTCCCCATCTTGCGGGCCCGTGTCCATCACTTTCCTGACAAACGAGAAGCCCTCTGCCTCCACACTGTGGGACCCTGTGTCTGGAATAGCAAGCTATTGTCTCAGTGGCCAATCAGAATTTGCTGAGACAGCCCCGCTTCTGGCCAAAGCTTCCGATTAAACATCTGATTAAAAATCAGATTTGGATTTTCTGAATTTTGTTCTTTTTCCCAGTGCCCCCGACAAGTCAATTGAGGCATTGTTCTTGAAAATCCTCACCCTGGTTTTCTGTGTGAGCCAGAATTAGGGTTTTTTTCTCCTGTAAAGTTGTAAGCCAAGGCTAAACTATGTCAGCAATGTCGCCTGCGAGGATGCTGTGCAGAGCCTGGGTGTGCACAAGTCCCGGGTTTCCAACCTTCCTCCCCGGACCCTGCAACCGCTACAAGCCCTGTGCTCGCTGCATAAACACCTGAACCGCATCGGCAGAGCTGCTTTACAAGCAGCCACATTCCAGCCACGCTTGCCTCGTGTCACCGTTGTCAGACCCAGAAGCTCAACTCCGAAGTTCGCCCCAAGTGCATGAATCTGCTAAAAATGCCAAAGGCGCGCCGCCCTGTGAATGCGCTGGACCTTGTGGTGTTGACGGTGCCTCTTGCGGGAGAGCCAGCTAATCCACCAGCGAACACGAGGGGCGGCGCGGGGGACGCGGCCAGTGAGCGGGCGGGTCAGCGTGGTGGGATGCGGGAGGGGAGGAGCCCCAGCGCCCTGCGGTTGTGCCCGCGCGTGCGCATGTGCACGTGTGTCCGCATGCGTGTGTGCACGCGCGCACCCGTGTGTGCACGTGTGTGCGCGTATGTTCACGCGCGCACGCATGTGTGCACGGGTGTACGCGTGTGCCCGTGTGTGCACGCGCGCGCAGGGAAGCCGGCACGCACGCGGCACTAACTGGCGGCGCAGCCCGGGGGCCCCGCTGCACCCCCGACTCCCGCAGACCCGCGGCCGCGGCGCCCCCGGCCCAGCGCGCAGCCGAGCGGAGCCGAGCGGGCGCGGCGGCGGCGGCGGCGCGGGGGTGGGGCTGGAGGCGGGCGGGAGGGACGCAGCGAGCGAGCGGGCAGGGGGAGGATCCGGGAAGTCGTGGAGTTACTTGACAGCCGCCGGCGGAGCGGCTGGGGCGCGGAGGGCCGCGGGTGCGGGGAGCGGGAGGAGCCCGGGCCGCGTGCCGCGCGTCACCATGCTGCTCCCGCAGCTCTGCTGGCTGCCCCTGCTCGCCGGGCTGCTGCCGCCCGCGCGCGCGCACAAGTTCTCGGCGCTCACGGTGAGTCGTCCCGCGCGCACCGTCCCCGCCGCCCCTTCCCGCCCGGGCGCCCGGGGCGCGGCGGGCAGGTGACCCCCGCGGGCGGGGCGCGGGCAGGTGGGGCCGGCCGGCCCCCGGGCGGCGGCGTGGGGCTCCCGGGCTCTTCCCGCCGCGTGGGGGTGCCCTCGGGGTCCCGCGCTTCCGGCGGGCGGGGGTGCAGGGCCGCCCCGCCGGGGACCCGGCCGGTGGCGCACTCGCCGTCCCGCGGGTCCCGGGGCGCGCTCGGCCTCGCGCCGGTGCATCACCGGGGCTCCCCTGCGGGAGCCCGCCGTCCTGGCCCCCCCCCCCGCGCCCCCTGTGGTTCGCCCGCCGCCCCGGAGACCCTCCCTGAGCGAGTGTAGGCGGAGGCACTGACATTGCAAATAAACCCTACTTTCGCCCGTCTCGGCGGCCAGCGGTCGCGCCGCGTCCCTCCTTCCGGGCCCGGCCGTGCGGGCGCCCCGGGCGCGCGGGTCCCCGCGGCGGGGCCGAGACGCGCCTGCAGACTCGCCGGCGGCGCGCGGGGCCGGCCCGGAGCGGTGTGCGGGGCGCGGGCCAAGCCGCCGGCCGCAGCCCAGGCCGGGCGTCTGCAGCCCCCCGCGCGGGCGGCCCTCGCGGGCTCCGCGGTGCTTGCAAACCCCTAATTAATGCAATCTGCAGCAACGAAAACATTCCACTTAAATGTGTTTTTGAACAAGTGCTTGAGAAAACACAGAGGTAGCAGGACGCCTCTGGCCGAGGGACGCCTTTCAGCGGCGGGACGTGTCCTCAAAACGCCCATTGTATCGAAAATACCGAGGTTTGCAGGGAGCACAGCTCCGGTTCTGCTTTTCAGCAAAAATTCGAAGCAGTCCTGTGAGCCTCCACCCCCCTCCCCGTAGTATGAGGGGGGAATAAGTTAGTGAGTTCACTGTTCATACCTAAAATTCTTCTGGAAGAGTCCTTGGGTCCCTGCCTTGTGTCTTGCAAATGACTTGTAGATTAGAAGCTGCTCCCTGAAAGCTGCGAGGAGGCTTTCACAGGCTCAGCCTCCCTGCAGAGCCGTCTCTGTCTCCAGGCCGCAGCCCGCTCACCCGCTCGCTGCGTGTACCCCGTGTCTGCCTCCTGGCACATACATGCTCGGGCACAGTGTCCTCACAGCGACCCCTCCCCCGGAGCACAGCGAAGGCCGCAGGGAAACAGGCCGCTTCTCAAAAGCAGACACTGGCATTTCCTTCCAGAGCCGGAGCAGCCGCTTACCTGCCCTTGCGGCGATTTTCTGAAAGTGCAAAGCGTGGACCCCCGTGTGCCCGCTCCCCGGGGCCCGTGGTCCGTTGGTACCTCCCTGGAGAGGCAGACGACCTCTCTAGGTTCTCTCCCCTCCCCGCCGCCCTCCTGTGTAGCACTGACTTTGCACCTCTGGTCCTCTGCTCAGGCTGCTCTGCGGGGCTTGTGGCTGCAGGAAAGGCAATGCCCCTTCACTGCACCCCCCCCCCCCCCCGCAAGACCTTCTGCCTAAAACTGACATTTGCAAACACAATGCCCTGCCCTTTTGCATCCGGGAGAAAACTCTAAAGCCCTGAAATATGCGGGCGTATTCCCGCCCCACAGGCTAAGAACTGAGAAGGTGGCCGAGGGGTTGCGGAGGTGGTAGATGTGCTGCATCCCCTGTGGGGGTCATCATCTCATTTCATATCAGTGTCCAGCGTTCGGGGACTTTTGTTTCCTCTGCAAGGTCTGCGTCTGATCTTTATAAATCAGAGAGATAGTCCGGGAGCCCTGGAGGGCATCTTAATCTCCAGGGCCCTTATCTGTGAAGTGTGGAGAAAGTGCTGTCTGATCAGCGTGCGGGGGGTGGGGGGGGGGCAAGATAAGGCTTTAACGTGCCGGGTGGCTTTTAGTTCTCCCATTCACATTATTTAAAAAATTTAAATGTTTTTATTTATTTCTGAGAGAGAGAGAGAGAGAGAGACAATGTGAACAGGGGAGGGTCAGAGAGAGAGGGAGACACAGATTCAGAAGCAGCTCTAGGCTCCGAGCTTTGGGCACAGAGCCCGACGCAGGGCTCGAACCCACGAACCGTGAGATCATGACCTGAGCCGCAGTCGGACCCTTAACCGACTGAGCTGCCCAGACGCCCCCAATTCACATTAATTTTGAAGGCACCCATGCCGTGGTCCGTGTGAGGGAGTTTTACGTGCTGTGATTACCAGCTGCGGGGCTGTGTCCCCCGGTGGGAGGGCCTGGGCGCTAGTGGGCTCCTCGCCCGTCACAGGGTGCTCAGAGCACCTGGCTTTGCTCTTGGGAGGACATGCGCTCCATTGAGGTAAATCGTGCAGGGCTGGTCAGGCGGGCGAGACAACACAGGTCTCTCTCTGCCTCCTTCTCTCCCAGCTTGTCGTCTCACCTCGGGACTGGGACACCCCGCACGCCTGTGGCTTAGAAGCCTGTCACATGGGCTCTGTAGGACCGCCCCCCCCACCCCACCTGGTCCCTGTCGGGCGCAGTGCGGGCGGAGCACGTTCATCACCTCCGCTGCTCTGTGCCCAAGACTAGGGGAATCTGCTTTGCTTGGCAGTTCTTTTCTCCCGCCAAAGTCGGTCTTTAGAAACGGCGCCGTGCCCTTTCTGACGGCTTTGATAATGTCCCGGTCATCAGTCGGACCGATCTCTGCCAGTCCGCAGATGGCGGTGCTAAGTGATTGATCTGCCTCATTGGGTCCGTTTGCATGTCTTCCTTTAAAAGGTAGGTGCATCCTAAGGCCAGGTCGTGTCCATTTCTCACGGGAATGGCTGACTTCTCTTGTTTTATTTCTGCCGATGGCTGAGACTGGAAAAATTTCCAGTGTAAGTGATCAGGACGCACGCGGTTGTGTTCTTCAGAGTGGGCGCCTGTGGCCGCTCCTCTCACACTTGGCCACAGGTGTGGTCGTGAGGGTCCGACGGTCGGGCACCCCGCACCTGCACGTGTCCTTCGGGGGCGGTGAGGAAGCACGTGGCCTGACCCCCTCCGCACGGATCCTGCGGCCGGCCGGCGGGCTCGCCTCTGGGCGGGCTAAGCGCCCACCCGGAGCCCTAGTCTCGTGTTGCCTGTGAGCGTCAGTCTCCTAGGCTCCTGGCCGGGACCTGGCGGCCGCACCCGTGTCCCTGTGCGCCCTCCGTGAAGGGCGCTTTGTGTGTGCCCCCGCTGTGTGCCCGCAGCCGCCCACCCAGGGTCAGGGCAGCTGCCCCGGGATGCCGAGCTGATCTAGCTGTTTCCAGAGTCAACCTGCACTCGTTTCCCTTCCCCCGGGGGACGGGCGTTCCTGGCTCTTAATGTCGGCACCTTCAGGGACTTTAGAAGTCTTCCCGCCTTCCCCCTGGGAGGGGACGTGCTGAGGACCCATTGGTCTGGGGGACAAGGAAGCACAGGCTGTTTTCTGCCCTGTGTGTATATCTTTGCTTTGAAAGAGAAGGAAGGGAGGGGAGAGGCAGTGTTTGCTCGTATATACATCTAAAATGTTTCGTCATTGGCGCGTCCCTCAGAGGGTCTGATAGCAGCGTTACTGGGGCATCAACGTTTCTGGGCCATGGGGGGAGGGGTGTGCACCGGCTCAGCCTCAGATGTTTCAGGAAGGCATTCCGGGTGTTTTCTCTTCTCCCGCCACACAGGCTCTGAGTGGATGGCGCTCCGGGAAGCCTGGGTTTCATTCATCAGCAGAGCGGCCACGGAGGTGGCCACGGAGGAGGAAAGTCACCACCGTCGGCAGCCTCCTACCTAGACGGCCCAGCCTCTGGAGGGGGTCACTGTAATTTTGATTTGAGACCACGACCATAGACACCACGTGTAAACACTTCAGGCCCTAAGAGGATGGGGCAGTAAACGGGCATCCATGTAACGATGGCTCAGAACAGATTTCTAGGCAGTTCTACATCAAAAGGAGCCTTCCTGAGCCTCTAGGATTTTAGGACGGGGCTGTTATTACGACGGGCAGAACAGTGGGATGGAGCGAGGTAACGTGTGTTTCTGAATTAAAATTGCACTCTTCTCCACATACCACATGCAGGCTGAGGCTGATGAACTTCCAGTGGGATTTTGACATTGGAGAAGGAAAATTAAGACTTCGAATTAGAAAATTAGAATCATCTCCTCTCTGTTTCCCCAATCGATGGTGCTGGTAACGGGGTAGGACCCCACTCTGTACGTGCCTAGAGTTAGAATAACACTCAGTACATTACATATTTAACCAAAGCCCACAGAGGAAAGAATTCAGAAAATAAAATCCTAATTTCAGATGGGCTGAGAAGAAATTATTCTAAAAGTATTACTAACAGACATTTATATGTGGCTTTGCAGCCCCAGGCTGAAAATCAAAGAGCAAAGATTTGTAATAAAACAGAATATATCGGAGCCAAGTAAATGTTAATGCATTTATATTGTCAGAATTAAAAAAAATAATAATAAACGGAAACTTGTGTACTGTAACATCTGGCTAAATTTAACGAGAAGTTTTGACACGACGGCAGTCTTAGGATGACGACTAAAGCCGATTCCGCCCAAACCCGGTGTACTGCCTGTGACATCTTGCGGCAGGTCACGGGCGGGGCTGGTGCCGAGGAGGCCACGTGACCCTGCGCTGAGTGAGTTAAGGACCTTCCCTCCTTCTACTCGCTTTTCCCTGGTGGCCTTTCTGGTTTTCCTTCTGCCCAAATTGCAGCGACCCCCCTTGGCTTCCGTCACCATGATGCCCGCTGTCGATGCGGCGGCTGCCGCTGTCGCTGGACCTGAAATCCAGAAGAGGCTTCTGAGTCTCTGTTCCCCACGTCCCCTCCTCGCATGTGCTGGTGTGCGACCCCCCGCACTGTGGTCAGCTTGCGGGGGGGGGGTCGCCTGCCATCCTGTCCCGCATCGTGTTGCCCACCCACCCATTAGCAAGCCCCGCGCCTCTGGGGGGTAAGCCAGCTCTTGAGGGTTGAGGTTGCTGGCATGGCCTCTGCCAATAATAACGAAGTTTCAGAAAGCGT